AGTACCGACTAGGGCGTAGCGAGTATAGGGAGTAGCGAGTGTAGTTTAGTGGGCAGTGGGCACTTCGTAATGAGTAGTGGGTAGTGAGTAGGGAGTAGTGGAAAGTAAGTAGTGGATCGTGCTTAGTAAGAAGTGAGTAGTGAGTAGTGGGCAGTCAGTAGTGCGTAGTGAGTAGTGAGCAGTGAAGACAGAATAATGAGTAGATAGTCGTGAGTAGTGAGTAGGAAGCGGTGAGTAGTGGGTAGTGGGTAGTGACTAGTGAGTATCGAGTACTGTTTGGGGCTAGGGTTAAGGGTTTGGTGCGGGGTTCGGGTGAGGATTCGGGTTGCGTTTGCGGATTGTGAGGGGGGGCGGGTTCTAGAGTCAGGGGGCGGCGTGGCGAAAGGGGGGGAGGGGGGGGATCATCGAATTTCGAGCCCAAGGGTGGGGCGGGTTGGGACCCCCCCCTTTTTGAAAGGAGGGGTGGGGTCCCCGACGACGGACCGGAGAAAGGCGGGGGGTCCCCCTCCCCCCCCGTGACGATCGAAATGGGTACGGAAAGAATGGTGCGATGCCCTGGCTGCAGTTTCTGTTCATTTTGAATAATGCTCTCTGTTCGCCCCGCCGCCGACGTCATTCTTTGAAGGCAGAGAAAACCGCCTGCCCAGCAGTGGCCGCTGTTGGTTTTGGACAACATTTGTTGTTGTACATTGTGCCCATTTTTGTCCGTACCCTTTTCGGGCGTCCGGAGTGAGATGGGGGTCAATGCAAAGGGGGGTCAGTCAGAGCGCAGGAATTTGCAGGATCGTGCAAAGCCCGACTGATCCGGGTCTGGACTGACCCGGGTCAGTAGATCCCCGACGAGGTTTGGCGGCGACGTTGGGGGCGAATAGCCCAGTGGCGGGCATTACACGCATTCGCCTGGGAGCCTCGCCGAAGGCATGGGCCATCGGCACCTGTGGATACGTGTGTTGCCCTTCCCTTGGGTATTCGCCCTCATCGTCGAGGTTCGAGGGTCGCGGGCGGAGGATGCGAGGAGGAGGAGGAGGAGGAGGAGGTGGAGGAGAAGGAGGAGGAGGAGGAGGAGAAGGAGGAGGAGGAGGAAGAGGGGGAGGGGGAAGGGGAGGAGGAGCCGTAAATCGGGCCCAGTAGCTTTTCATCAGGGCCACCCCCGGCGGCGCGAAGGCAATCGCGCTCCGCGCACCAGGGCTCGGGTTGAAGAGCGCCCTCTTCCAACGCGGCGGCGCGAGGGCGCAAAAATAACCCTTGGCATCACTCGGACGTGTGCACTATTTCTCGGCGAAAACCATCGAGGACCATTGGACCATCGAGCAAACAAAAACACGCACGAAACCGAAACAGCACGGGAAATGGACGTCCGAGCGACGGCAAGTAACCGCGACTCGCGCATCGCGCCCCGCGATTCGAGAAGTTCGGTGACCTTCGGACGGGGCCAGGACGAGGATCAGTCCGTTCCAGAGCGCTCCAGAACCTTTTCTGAGCGTTCTGGGACGCTCTGAGAGGGCCGCGGCGTCCGATGCAACCTCCAGTGCCGCCAGATCTGAAAATGTTCGACTTCTCTTCGCCCGATGTCATCCTTGTCCTGGCATTGTCTTCGTTCGCGTTCTGGAGATTGGCCGTCCCGGGGCGCCCTCGTGGCCCCGGCTGGCTCCGCCTCGGAGTCCTGGACAGATGGCACTATGAGCAGTGTCACGCGCTGACCGGGTCGGCAGAGATTGGAGCAAGAGGGGACGAGGCTCCGGGGGGGGACGTATGGCCCAGTACAGGAGGGAACAAAAACACACAGACACAATTGATCGTCGATCCCCAAGAAAATATAGGAACATATGGGAATTGGGCAGGGAGACAAGAACCCGGAAAATATGGGAGAATCTGGGGAATAGTTTGATTTGTGTGTATTTATTTGTGTGTCCTTGGGCCCCTTGACCAGCACTGGATGTGTGCCCCTTGTCCACCGCGGCGGCGCGGACCACGGCCTCGACCAGAGGGGCCTGCACCGGCTGCGCGTGAGAGGTGCTCCTCCGCCGCAGTGGCCCTGGAGCGCGCTGCTTTTTCCGATGCGCGGGCGGCTCAACTGAAGTCGGGCGTGTCCCTCTACAGGAGGAGCCGAGTGAAACTGGAAAAAAATAATCCGGGGACGATTTGTTCATCATGTTTCAGTATTGTAGTGGCCCCCGGCCAGTGCCGCCGATCCGGGGCGCTCCTGATGCTATTGTTGTTGAAATGGACGATGACGACGACAACGGACGACCAACGGTCGACGAGCGGGATAATTACGACGACGACCGACGAAGGAGTTAATAATCGACGACGACGACGACGACGACGACGACGACGACGACGACGACGACGACGACGACGACGACGACGACGACGACGACGACGACGACGACGACGACGACGACGACGACTGACGGCGACGACGACGACGACGACGACGACGACGACTGACGGCGAACGGCTGCCGACGGCCGACGACCGACGACTGGTGACGGCGACGGGTGGAAGGTTCTTCGTTCATCGCTTTCGCTTCCGAGCAATACCAAGTCAGGCCGTGGCCTGGCAGCACACGAGTGAGCGCCTCTTGGGGCCTCTTGGTTCTTGGGGCTTCTTGGGGGCCTTTGGGGCCTCTTTTGGGCCTCTCGGGGTTCTCTTGGGGGCCTCTTGGGGACCTCTTGGGGGCCTCTGGGGGCCCCTTGGGGGCGCCTCGGGGGCATCTTGGGGGCTCTTGGGGTCATCTTTGGGTGGAGGACTAGAAGGGTCCGTTCGGATTCACCCTCTTGAGGCCATCTTGGGGGCCTCTCGGGGTCGTCTTGGGGGGCCTCCAGGGCTATATTGGGGCCCTCTTGGACCGTTTTGGCTCCTCTTGGGGGCCTCTTGGGCTGTCTTGGAGCGATCTTGGGGGCCTCATTGGACCGTCTTCGGCGCTTCTAAGACGGAAAAGGGGATAATGTTAAAATGCTTCAAAAACTATTGGCAACTTTATTATTGCACCCTCTTGGGGCCCTCTGGGGGGTCCTCTTGGGATCTCCTTGAGGCGTCTTGGAGGCCTCTTGGGCCGTCTTCAGGCCATCTTGGGCGTCCAGGAGCGCTCTTGGGCCGTTTCGGGCGCCTCCTGGACCGTTTTGGTGGCCTCCTGGGCCCCTTTTGGCCCGACTTGGGGAGGTTTGGGATTCCCGGGGTGGGGGGGAAAGAAAGGGTGGACCATGACCCCCCCCCCCCTCCCCCCCCCTACCCCGGCAGAGCCACCCCGGCCCCCCCCAGCAGAGCTGAAGCTCAGGTTGTAGCTTTCTTAAACTCACACGCCGGATCGGCGGATTGTAGTGGCCCCTGGCCAGTGCCGCCGATCCGGTACGCTGCCGTTGCTGCCGGAAGCGCACGATGGCGGTCATGACCGGCGACGACGGTGAGCGGTGAGGTCGGGAGCCTCGAGACGGGGGTCAATGCAAACGGGGGTCAGCCAGGGCACCAGATCCTGCAGGATCCTGCGAAGACCCCCTCTGGCTGACCTGGGTTTGCGAAGACCCGCGTTGCAGTTTTTGTTCTTGCATTGCAGTTTTGGGTTTCCTGCTGACCCGGGTCTGGATTGACCTGGGTCAGCAGGAAACCGGCGAGGATGATGATGGGGACTGGGATCGGATTTCGCCCAAAATCCGCCTGTAGGAGGACATGCCCGACCTTCTAGGCTAAACCCAAGCACGCAGGCCGCAACTTTCCAGCCGCCTCTGGGCAGGCCTTCCCCGGCGGCGGAGCCAGCGCATGTCCGGGCGAAGGAGGCCCTGCCATGGGGGGCTTCGGTGGAGTTCCCTGTGGGGCTACGAAGCGTGTGGTGTGTATGTGTGTGTGTGTGCGTGTGTGTGTGTGTGTGCGTGTGTGCGTGTGTGTGCGTGTGTGTGCGTGTGTGTAGGGCCTCCGAGACGGGGTCGGAGTTGATGGGGTCGGACGAGCGCGCCGCATCGCCGATGCATCAGCGATGCGGCCCGATGTGGAGCCCGATTTGTTCCACGTCGACGTTGCCGATGCGTCGCCCACGTCGACGATGCATCCCCGGCGCATCGCCGATGCATCGCCGATGCGTCGCATATGCATCGCCGGTGTATCGGCGATGTGGCGCGATCCTCCAACCCCATTTATTCGAACCCTATCGAGGAGGCATCTCGTGTGTGTGTGTATGTGTGTGCCGAGTAGGGGGAAACGCATGCGGACCCTGCCTGCCAATGGGCCCTTTGATGGCACTCCCCGTGGGGCCACGAAGCGTGTGAGGGGTGTGCGCCGACACGGGCGGAACCTCATGTGGACCCTGCCACACGGGCCGTCCTTAGAGTTCCCTATGGGGCGACGAAGCGTCTAAGTGGTGTGCGTCGAAATGGGGGGTGGCACCGCGTGCGGACCCTGCCACAAGGGCCGTCCTTTGAGCTCCTTGTGTGGCCACGAAGCGTGTAAGGGGTATGCGCCGAAATTTGGTGGTTGGAACCGCGTGCGGACCCTGCCACAGGGGTTGTCTTTGGAGCTCTCCTTGGGGCCACGAAGCGTGCGAGGGGTGTGCGCCGAAATTTGGTGGGTGGAACCGCGTGCGGACCCTGCCACAGGGGTTGTCTTTGGAGCTCTCCTTGGGGCCACGAAGCGTGCGAGGGGTGTGCGCCGAAATTTGGTGGGTGGAACCGCGTGCGGACCGTGCCACCAGGGCCGTCGGTGGAGTTCCTTGTGGGGCCACGAAGCGTGTATACCACTACTCGTCCGCTAACGTCGACGACGACGACGACGACGACGACGACGACGACGACGACGACGACGACGACGAGGAGCGACGACGACGACGATGAACGACGACGACGACGACGATGACGACGACGACGATGGACGACGACGACGACGACGATGATCGCTGCCTCCTGCGGACCGACGTGGCGCTGGCCCGGCCTGCCCCGCCACGCGCCCGCCAGGCGCTCCTCCCAGACGCTCCCGTGCCTGCCGGCGCTGTCGGAGAGGCCGGCGCCGAGGCCCGTACCTCCTCCGCGGGGCGCCGCCGCCGCTGTCGCGGCGGTCGCGGGTGCGGCCGCTTGCGCGGGCCAGCGTGTCGCTCACGCCGCCGCCGTTGCCGTCGCCGTCGCCGTCGTCGTCGTCGCCGTCGCCGCCGCCATCGTCGTCGTCGCCGTCGTCGCCATTGCCGTCGCCGTCGCCGTCGTCGGCGTGGTGGTCGGGGGGGTTCGGAGGGTGAGAATCTTGAAAGTTTTTGGGGTACCGATTGTGTCTCGGATACCCCTGGGCACTTCCGCTCGTCGTCGCCGTCGCCGTCGCCGTCGCCGTTGTCGTTGTTGTTGTCGTTGTTGTTGTCGTCGTCGTTGTATGTTGTTCCTCACATGTTAAGCGCCGTTCTGGTTTTCTTCCCTTTCGCGTCGCACCCGCGTCTCCCACACCCACCTCCCCCACACCCTCCCCCACGCGCACACACATCAGGCACATGCACACAACGCACCTTACCCACACGCACACACACACACCACACAACACAGACACATGTCACACACACACACACGCACACACACACACACACACCACGCACGGACACCATCCGATTACACACCTTACACACCTGACAACACAGGGGCTACAACGCATCATACCCACACGTGCACCCCGGACCACACAGGCTCACATCATACACGCACAAGCGTCACGCACAGACGCCACCACACGACAACACACCTGACAACACAAGGCCATCACCAGCGCCTACACCAGCACCAGCGCCAGCATCGACGCCAACGCCCGCGCCTACGCCGGCACCGACGCCAGAGCCTACGCCACCGTCGACGCAAACACCGACGACAGCACCAACGCCGGCGCCTACGGCGGCATGGGCGCAAACACCAACGCCGACGCCAACACCAGCACCGACGCCAACACCAGCACCGACGCCAGCAGCCGACCCCAGCACCGAAGCCGGCAGCACCAAGCACCAGCAGCGCCGTGCAGACCTGGCACCTGCAGCTGCAGCCGCAGCCGCCACGGCAGCCCGAGGACCTGTGTCGGAATCGTGCCAGACCACGTCGTGGCGCTGCGCCACGGGTACTTGCAACGCGGCGTGGAGCAGCACTGCCGGGTGCGGAAGAACGTGGCGGACCTCTGCGGGTGCGACGTGTCGATGTGAGTTTTGTGTGCGGTCCCAGCCCGCCTGGCGGCGACCGTTTAGGTCGCCACGGGGCGTTGCAGTCAGCACAGGGTGATGCAGTCAGCGTTCCTCGTCCTCGTCCTCTTCTCCTCCTCTCTCCGTCCTCCTCCTCCCCTGCTGGCTTGCGAGTGGCTTCGCGTCCTGGCCAGGCGGAGGAGCGGCCCTGCGGCTCCGCGGGCGCCGCCCCGCCGCCAGACGCCTCGAGATGGCGTTCGCCCGCCCCCCCTCCTTCCTCGTCCTTGTCCTCGTCCTCTTCCTCCTCTTCCTCCTCTTCCTCCATGTCTGAGGCCGTGCGCGCGTCTTTCGCACGCTGCTGGAGGCGATGCGGTTCACAAATCGTGCAGCTTCGCTGTTCCCCAGTTCTGGGGGGTGCCAGCCCGTCGATCTATTTTCCGCCAGCGCTTAGGAGAACAACCTGTGTTGGCTGACGGGTGCACCCAGAATGCGGTGACATCTACCTGGCCGGCACTGTCATGCATTTGTCCGCGATGCATTTGGTCCGTAACGGTTTGGGCAGTTTCGCTTGCTGGGGCAAGTGGGCGCTTTCGGATTCAAGGCGGACGTCGTGGGCTTTGCGCCGGGCCTCGCTTATGAATGCTCCGAGCTCCCTTCTCTTCTCTTCCTCCCGCTCTGCGCCTCCTCTGCCTGTCTCCTCCTCGCCCCCCCCGCGCGCGTCGTCTCGCTCGGCCCTGGGCGGTGGCCGCTTGGTTGGAGATAGGTTGCCCGACGCTCTGCAGGATCTCCTCCCCCCCCTTTTTTGTTTTTCTCTCTCTCTCTCTCTCTCTTTCTCTCTCTCTCTCTCTCTCTCTCTCTCTCTCACTTTTTTTTTTTTTTTTTCTCTCTCTCTCTCTCTCTCTCTCTCTTCCTGCTCCCCCCAATTGGTTGCTTTTCAGCGCGCCGCGTGCATGAGCACTGCGCGTGGACCTGTATGCGCCCGCTGCCGGTTGACCCTGGCCTCTGGCCATGCGCCAGGCTTGCCCTGACGCCGTCGCCGTCATGGTTACGCGCGGTGCGGGGCGTTTGTGCGCCCGTGTGCCCTCGTTCGAATGTTTAGTTTTAGTTGGCGAATGTCTGCGCCCAACCGCTTTCACCCTCGGGCGTTTCCCTTGCAGCTTGTAGAGCTCCGTCGCTTTCCCTCCTTGTTCCTTCCTCGCGCTCGTCCCCTTCCCGCCCCCGCCTCCGACGTGATAGGATTCCGGGGATGTTTCTTATCAGCCACGCCGCCGCAAAGGGCTTTGGCTGAGTACGCACTGTGCGTCGCCCATTATGGACTCGTTGTGTGAGGCCTCACACACGGCGCCGCTGTCCGCTCTCGATTCCTCCTCCTCGTCTTCCGCCCCTCCGCCGGGATCCCGAGTCCGGGGCCGCTTCAAGTTTTTGCTTCCGTCCTTGCCGGGGTATTGTAGCGATATCGTATTCAGCAGGCTTTGTCAGAACGCTTTTGAGTAGAGTACTGGTACCATAGTGTACATAAGGCGTTCGGCTGTCGCCGAAAGTCTGGGTGGCTTCTCGCCCCCGGGTCGCGTTTAAGGGGCCCTCAGCTGCTGTGTCTTTATCGGGGAATAACACTTGACAACACAGGGGTTGCGCGGGGGGTAGTTGATGTGTCCGTTGGAAGCTTGCTGGGAGGGCGTGGCAGGCATGGTACTTTTTAGACGCCTCAGGGGGTGATCTGTGGGTGCCTCCCGTATCCGTCCCAGGTTCGCAGGGCGTGGCAGGCAAGGCACTCTCTAGACGCCTCGGGGGGTGCGCTGGGGGTGCTGGCGCTATGTGGGCCATGGCGTGCTGGCCAGCAGGGGCGGCAACTTCTCGACACCAGAGAAGGTGCGGGGGGGGGGGAGGGGGGAGGGCGCGCTATGTGGGGGGCCAGGGCTCACAGGCCAGCATGCCCCACAGCTTCGGTTACGCGACACCGCTGGGGGTGCGGGGGGGGGGGGGCATGCAGGCCATGGTTCACAAGCCTGCAGGCGCGAGATTTTCTCGACGCCGCGAGGGATGCGCCGGGGGCGGGGGCGTTATGCGGGCCATGGCTCACATGCCAGCAGGCGTGGCATTTTCTTGAGGCAACAGGGGGTGCGCAGGGGTCGGCATTCGCAGGGTAGCAGGCATGGTATTTTCTCGAGGCCACAATGGGGTGCGCAGGGGCCGGTGAGTTATGCGGGCCATGACTCACAGGCTAGTAGGCCCGATAGTTCCTCGACGCCACACAAGGTGCGCGGGGAAACGTGGCGCTATGCGGGCCGTGGCTCACGAGCTGGCAGGCGTGGCAACTTCTCGACAGAACAAGAGGGCGGGGCGCTGTATGGGCCTGGGCTCGCAGACTTACAGGGGCGGCACTTTCTCAACACCACAGAGGGGGCGCGCGGGGGGTGGGTGCCGCGCGCTGTGCGGACCATGGCTCCTAGGCGTGCCTGCGTGCCACCTTTCATCAACACCACAGAGGGTGCGCGGGGGGTGGGGGCCTTGTGCGGGCCACGGCTTCCAGGCCAGCAGGCGCGACGGGCCATGGCTTCCAGGCCGGCAGGCGCGACAGTGTCTCGACCAGACGGGGTGCGCAGGGGGTGTAAGGGTGGTATCTTTTCCTTGGTGGTATCTTTGCCCAGTTGCCGCCAGCTGTGCGGGCGCGGGCTTGTGACGCCATCCCGCTCTTCCAATTTTGTCCCACTCCAATCCGGCCCCCCTCTCTCTCGACACCAGGCGGGGTGGGCACGGGGTGTTTCCTTGACCCCCCTGCGCAAGGCCATGACACCATCACCACGTCTGCAAATGTTGAAGTCTGTGGGGTTCCTCGGCTACGCGCATTGTTTGTGTGGTTCGTTTCAGGAGGCCGTATTGGGGTTGCCTTGTGGCTCTTCTGCAGGCCCTCCTGGGCCTTCTTGGACGCTCGCTCTTTTGGGCAGGCGCCCGGCCTCCTGCTGCCCTCGCAGCCGCCCTCGCCCCTCGCAGCGACGAGCGCCGAACCCGCCAGCAGCCCTGCCCTGCCTACTGCAGCGGGTGCCGGCCACGACGGCGGGGGCGGCGTGCACTGGCGGCGGCGGTGCAGGCCCACGACGCCGTCGGGCCGAACGCCGACCTGGTTCAGGCGATCGCAAACATGGACTGGCGTGGTTAAGGGCATTAGAACCCCCCCCCTAGTTAAGGGGGGCATCGAATTGGTCCCCCAGTTAAGGGCATTCAGAACCCCCCCGCTAGTTAAAGGGAGAAGCCCTTTGATTCTGGGCGTTCATGGATCTTGTTCGTAATCTTCGGGGGGTTAAGGGGGCGTGGATTAGCGACGGGTCCCGTTTCCATATGAAATCGCTGATTGCCGCCGCCGAGCGAAGCGGCACCGGCCGCACTTTGGGGAGGGCACCTCCCCCGATCCGTGGATTTGGCGGCCGCACGCCAGATCCATAGAGCGCCAATCCATGTTTGCGCTCCCCCGACTGGTGGCCTCCGACCAGCGCGACCAGGAGGCCATTTCCCGCGCGGTGGACAGCGCCGCGCTCGACGGGCTTCTCTGTAGGGGCGAGAAGAATGACACAGACACAAAAAAACGGCGCCGCGCTCGACGGGCTTCTCTGTAGGGGCGCGAAGGATGCCATAGACATAACAAAAGCTCGGAGGTCCGCGCGGACTTCTTGCAGGTCCGCGCTGGAGGCGCCGCCGGGGGGCCCCAGCGCCGAGCCGAGAAGTCCTCACGGACCTGCGAGCTCGTATCTTTATGGCATTCTTGGTCCCCCGATCGGGGAAACGTACGACGCGAGTGGGCCAGAGCTCGAGTGTGCCGACGCTGTGTTTGACGAGCGCGCGTCCCGGATTCCGTATTGGGCCAGATTTCAGATTGGG